CTTGCAGCATGACCTTTCCCAGCTTCCTCAGGGCTCATCTGTCCCTGTGGCAAGTCCTGGTATTTTTCTGCAACAATACTCATGGGGGAAATGGCACTCTGGTGTGTCTCTGATCAAGGAGGCCTATCCCAGAATCCCCAGCTGGTTTCTCCTACTGCATTGGCCAAAGCTGTGTCATGTGCCTCATCCTAACCAATCACCAGCAAGAAAATGAGGTTTGTGACCCAGGTGTGTCCAACCTCTTGACACTGCATCATCAATGCTGTTGTCTAAAAGTTCACACTGGAGAACTGTACAATTTATTTCATTTATTTTTATTATTTTTAATTGTGTGTGTGTTTGCATTTGTGTATTTGAGTGCAGGTGCACACAGGTCAGAAACTTAAGATCCCCTGGAGCTGGAGTTACAGGCAGTTGTAGGCTGCTTGGCCTGGGTGCTGGGAACTGAGCTCTAGTCCTCTGCAAGAGCAGCATAAGCACCTAACTGCTGAGCCATCTGTCCCGCCCTGCAATTGAATTAAAAAAAAATCACAAAAGTCTCATGTTTTAGGTAAGTTTATGATTGTGTTGGGCTGTATTAATAGCTTCCCTCAACCAAGACACGTGGTGGCTGGAGGATAGTGGATCTTCCAAAGAAAACTTTAGTAGCATCAGGAGGGAAAGCCATATTGTGTGCCTTGGACAGAGGGACTGCTGCATGGTTGGATGAAGCTGGCTATGAGTGCCTTAGATCTGTAGTATGTGATTCAGGAAAGATGGTGGAAGGGTACTGGGATGGTGCCAGGTCCAGGGGTGTTACAGGAAGAGGGAGAGTGGTGAAAGGCAGCTGCGTGGGGCTAGGGGGACTGTACACAGTGAGGCTGAAAGAAGCAGAGCCTGGCCTTTAGTGGGAAGCCTCAGTGAGGAGTCACTGTGTCAGGGGTGGCATGAAGTCTCTGGAGTGGGACCAAGGTATGCAAGCATAGCAGAAAGCTCTGGATCAGTAGCTGGCAGTCACATGCTGGCCTTCAAGTACATCACACACCTGCAAAGCCCAGGCAAACAAGATGGAATGTGTAATCTTTATTTTCTCTCCCTGGGACTTAGTGCAGGCAAAATGAGGCTCCAGACACACACTTGGTGAAATTATTATGAGGATCACCACATGGACAGGTGAGAGAGAACTTGTAGCAGGGCTTGTACAATATGAGTGATCTATACAGCAGTTCTGTTAGCTGAAGTAGTGGTATGTCACTGTGAACACTTAATTACCCTGCACGGAACCATTGCTTATTGAGTATGTGCACTCCCCATAGAGACTTTCACCTTAAACCCTACAAGCAATTCACTCTGTTGATTCTATTTCCTTTACCAAACAGAAATCAGAGTTCAGAAGTGTTGAGTGACTTGCCTGAAGCCGTCCTAAGATGCCAGGGTAGAAGTTCAAGCTCTGATTGAGTGGCAGGACTTTCCTCAGCAGCCCTGGGCCCCTTCCCTGTCCCTGATCTGGTCTATGAGTGCAGGGAGAGAGGAGGGAGAGCATCTGCCTATTGTTCAACCTTAGCTGGGGATGTGTGTGTGGGGAGTAGGTGACTGTTTCTAGTGCACTGTAAGTTTCTACCAGTGACCACAGGATCCCTGAATATTGACTTATAGGGCTATAAGTAGGTTTTAGGGAGTGGTGAATACAGACACAGGATCTGGAAGCAATGGGGTCCTACCACAGCAGGTGCGACCATGGAGAAGAAAACGTTGGGATTTATCTGTCTAAGCTAGCTTTTGTGTTTATTTTATTTGTGCGCACGTGTGTGTGTGTGCGTGCATGTGTGCGTGCATGTGTGTGTGTGTGTGCAAATGTTCCCCAGAGAGTGTGTGGTCACAGGACAGCTTGCAAAAATCAGTTCTCTCCTTCCACCATGTGGGTCTCTGGATTGAACTGAGGTGCTCAGGCTAGGCATCAAAGTGCTTTTTCCCACTGAGCCACCTCACTGTCCTCCCTGTCCCCCCTTTTCAGACAGAATATCTTCGTGGTGTGGAGTGAGCTCCAGGGACCTACCTTTTTCTGCCATCCCAGCTCTGGGCTTACAAGTACATGCCACCACATGGGATTTTTTTTTTTGTCTTTTTGAGACAGAGTCTCCCTGTAGATCCTGGAACTTGCTATGTAGACCAGGCTGGCCTCGAACTCACAGAGATCTGCCTGCCTCTGTCTCTCAAGTGCTGGAACTAAAGGTGTGCGCCACCACGCTTGGCTGGACTTTTTTTTTTTAATGTGGATTCTGGGGATTAAATTCAGCTTTTGGGCTTGCAAGACAAGCACTTGATTGACTGAGCTATCTTCCCAGACAGTGACTTAATTTCTTAAGATGAAAAGGCCTCATGGACCCAGAGCTGAGGTGTCCCTGAGAGCCAAGTATAATCCAGAGTGATCTGAAGTAGGATGTGGTGTGTGTGGGCAGCAACAGACAAGAAGATGCAGGAGAGCTGAGGTCTGAATTCCAAGAGGGAAGATGGGAAAGTCCTGGAAATGGGTGACCAGTCCTCAAGCAGGGAGACGCTGAGGGCCGAAGTCAGTACATTTGCTGTGGCTCCAGCTCGGGTAGAGTGAGCAGAGTCCAGGGAGGTCATGGGCCTACATCAACTTCAGCTTCTCCCAATGCAGGCAGTAGGGAGGGTTTTCTCCATGACCGGCTTCCATCCCTCCCTGAGACTCTAAACGGACGAAAGCAATACTCTGCACTGTGGGCCCCAGGGGAGGGGTTCAAGATAAAAGCATAGTCCTTCATCCACTGTTCTGCTCTAAAAGGAAATCTTGCCCCGATTGTTCTCTTCATAGTGCTGGGCACAATCACACAGATGTACGAACATGTCCTAAAAGACAGATGGTTTTCTTGGCTCATTGTTACTTCCCTTTTTTTTTTTTTTTTTTTTTGTTAAAGAGGAGGATGAGAAAGTGCATCCTTTTTCCTAAAATTGAGACATTAAGGAAATGCCCCCTTTCAGCCCCTCACTGGGATTATGACGCCAAGAGAGACATTGGCTACCACTAGTCATGACCCTCCTTTAAAAATATTGTTATCTTCATTGTACAGATTTAGGAGTAACCGTGTGAGAATTCTGTATTTGTATACAATGTGCAACAAACGGGGCATTAGCATTTTCATCTCCCTAAACAGTTAAGAAATTAATTCAAATATAAGGGATTCTGCACATGGGGTAGAGCATGATATTGCAATAAAAATCAGGTAATTAGCATTTTTTAAGCAATTCTTTTTTTAAAACTTTTTAAAAATTTTTAAGTGTATGTGTGTATTGCCTGTATGTAGGGTAAGTGCACCCATAATGTGCAATGCCCACAGAGGACAGAAGATGCTGTCAGATCCCCTGGAACTGGAGTTTCAGACAGTTGTTAGCTACCATGTGGGTGCGGGGATTCAAACCTGGGTCTTCTGCAAGAACAGCCAGTGTTCTTAACTGCTGAGCTGTCTCTCCAGCCCGTAATTAGCATTTTTACCTTTTATCACTGTATGGGTGGAACCTTCAAGACCCTCTCTTCTGGATACTCCTAACAGGTTGTTGTGATCTACAGTACTTTCCTTGTTCTGTGTAACATTAGAGCTTATTGCTAACGTCCAGCTGTGTCTGGTGCTCGTTAGCTAACCTCCCACTACTGCTGCCCCTGAGTGACTGAGTGTGGCTCAGACCAGCTCTAAAGCTCCTTTCCTGAGAACTTAGCTGTCTCAAGTCTCCTTCTCTCTAGACCTCCTGTTCAGAGCATCAAATCTGGTTTTGAGTTTTTAAAGTTCCTATACATTCTAAAATCATTCGTCAGATTAATGTGCAAATAGGGGCTGAGAAGTTCGCTCAATCAGTAAAGTGCTTGCTGTACAAATGTGTGGAACTGAGTTCAATCTCAGCACTCGTGTAGAAAACCAGGCATGATGGTGTGTACTTGTGATCCCAGCGTTGGGGAGGTAGAGATAGGTAGGGCTGAAAAGTCTCTGGGGCTCACTGGCCAGCCAGCCTTCCAAGTCAATGAGATACCCTGTCTCAAAGAACAAGGTGGACAGCACCTGAAGAATGACACCCAAAGTTGACTCTCACCTCTAAATGTGTGTGTGCGCGCGCGCGCACACACACACACACACACACACACACATACACACACACACACACAGTGTCAGCCCTCAAGGCAGTTATGCCACATTGTGGCCCCAGTCTCCTCATCTGTTCCTTTGTGCTTCATGGTTCCTCTGTGAATGAATGGTTTATTCCGGGTCTTCTGCTTGTGACCTGGTCTTTGTTCCCTGCTCCCTCCTTTGGAATTCACGGAGACATTCGATGAAGAAAGTCAACATAATTTTATTTGTTTCCTCAGAAGATGTTAAGGGAAGACCTAAATTATCTGGTGACACCGATCTCTGTGCAGACGAGTTAGAACATCTCCAAAGGCTATCTTGAAATGCTGCCTCCTTCTCTCCATTTTGCAAAATTACAGTTTAATACTTGCAGATTAATTCCATCCATGCTTCTGGTATGTTCCATGAGCACTTTGCCTACTAGAATTTTAATTTAGTGCAGAGCTCTCTTTATTTTTCAGAGGATTCGTTTTATGGCTGGAACAAAGTATTTTTCTCAGTAACATAAAAACCTTTTATGCATCTTCAAATATGGTGCAAGAGTGGAATAGGTACACCTGGGGTTTGATTAGTGGGGGTTTGAGTGCATAAGAAAAGGTAAGATAAAGAAAACAGCAAACTCACAAAAGCCAGCAGAGGTTATACAGTTCCATTAAATTATGTTTATGGTTTAACTTGTCAGTATTTTGTAACACAAATAGCTTTTCTGGAGTCTATCTATCAGTATTTGTCACTAATTAGTGCCTACAAATTACTCTCTGTATGAGTCCTGCTCTTCTGATGTCTTATAAATCAGAGCCATCACAGTTCATGAACTTCTGCCTATGTCGGAATCTGTGTGTCTCCTGCTAATGCATCTTCATGTTCTTACTCTTCCCAAAGGTCTCCAACACCTGTGATTCCATCTTTGTGAATGGGAAGGAGATGAAGAGCAAAGTGGGCACGATTGTGAACTTCACCCACCAGCACTTCACCTCCCAGGTGGAGGTCACCGTGTGGGCACCCCGTCTGCCCCTGCAGATAGAGATCTCAGACACAGAGCTGAGCCAGATCAAGGGCTGGAGGATCCCAGTGGCCTCCAACAGAAGGTGAGGAACCAGAAAGAGGGCTGTGGATTAGAGGCTTCAGGGACCCAGGTCTCCATAGGAAGCGAGCTGTCCCCACAGAGTTAGTGCTCAAGGAGTGTTTCCATGGTCCGGGCTTGGGCTTCCAGTTTCCAGAGCGTGTTTCCATGGACTGTGGCTTGGACTTGGGCTTCTAGTACCCAGGGTGTGTTTCCATGGACTGGGCTTAGAATTCTGGTACCCAGGGTGTGTTACCATGCACTGGGCTTGGATTTCTAGGACCCAGGCTGTCATGAACTGGGCTTGGTCTTCCTGTGGATCTGACTTGGATAATTCCTAACACTTTGACATGAGGGGATTACATCAAAGGTAGTGCTAGCAATAATAACAGTGATATTAGCTGCCTCATACAGCAGTTTCTAGGGTTCTGTAAGGTGATGTGAGTTGTAAGAAGCACCTGATTGAAGCCTGGACTTTAGGGTAGAACTCCTTCCTAGTATCCATCTCACTCCTGTTTATTGTACCGCTAAGATCATGGTTAAGACCACCTCTTGGAAATGAGACTGCCTGAGTTTAAACTTGGTTTCTCCCACATACAGCCATGTGATCTTGTGTCTTAAACTACCTATTCCTCAGTTTCTTCAACCATAAGTTGGGATCAGTAATATTTCCATGAGCAGTCCTCAAAATTCAATGGGCTCATACATTGCAGCAGTGAGTGCATAAAGACAAGCTCCTTTCCAGGATCCCCATCTGCTGCTTATTCAGCTGTGGTGGTTTGTGTGAGAAATGTCCCTCACAGGTTCATATATTTGATCATTTGGTCCTTAATTGGTGTCACTGTTTGGGAAGGTTATGGAACCTTAAGGAAGTGAAGCCTTACTGGAGGAAGTACATCACTGTCTTATAGCCTAGCGCCACTTCCTCTTCTCACTTTCTGCTTCCTGAGTGCAATGTGAGCAGCCAGCTTCCTATCCTGCTGCCACGCCTTTCCTGCCTGTTGCATTGTCTTCCTCACCAGGATGGACTATACCCTCTGGGACTGTAAGCCAAAATAAACCCTTCTTCCCTATATTGCTTTTAAAAATATTTTATTTATTATTTTTATTTCATGTTTATGAGTGTATTGCTTGCACGTATGTAAGTGCACTTGTGTTGTGCAGTGCCCATAGAGGTCAGAAGAGGGTGTTGGATCCCCTGGAACTAGAGTTACAGATGATTGTTAGCCACCATATTGGTGCTGGGAACAACCCAGGTCTTCCTCAAGAGCAGCCAATGCTCCTAACTGCTGAGCCATTTCTCCAGCTCTTCCTCTTTGTTTTTTGAGATAGTATTTCACTGAACCTAGAGTTCACTATTACAGCTAGACTGGCTGGCCAGCATGTGTTGTGCAGTGCCCATAGAGGTCAGAAGAGGGTGTTGGATCCCCTGGAATTGGAGTTACAGGTGGTTATTAGCCACCATGTGGGTCCTCTGCCAGAGCCATCTCTCCAGCCCCTCCCGTATTGCTTTCGTCAGGGTGTTTTACCACAGCAACAGAAAGGTAACTGGAACACCAGTCGAACACTAATCTGGCTGTGTGGTGAGAGGACTTCACAGATTCAATTAGAGCCAATTAAGCAGTCTTAGGGTGTAGCAATGATCCAGGTGGGCCAGACCCATTAGATAAGCCCGTTGAAAGTAGAGCATCTCCTGCAGCGGGTGGAAGAAGAGTAGCTGGAGACATCTGAGGTTGAGGACTACTTGACAAGATGATGTTGGCATTGAAGACATATTGAATTATGTACCAATGGAGGTAGGTTTTATTAGTTACTTTTCTGTTGTGATCAACAGCACGACCAAAGGCAACGTATAGAAGAGTTTATTTTTGGCTTATGGTTCTAGAGGGATAAAAATCTATCACCGGGAGGCACAGCAGTAGGCGGCAGGCATGGTGGCAGGAGGAGGAAAACTCTCAAAGCCCATCTCCAATGAAGTGCTTCCTCCAGCAAGGCTGCACCTCCTAAAGGTTCTATGACCTTCCCTCAAAAGCACCACCAACCGGGGATGAAGTGTTCAAGTATTTGAGCCTGTAGGAGATGCTTCACATTCAAACTGCCACATGGGAGTAGAGCCTTTAGGATCCAAGAGCAGTCTCAGGTGACCACTGGCCAATGAGAACTACAGCCGAACTCTAAGAGCTGAACCTTGCAACGCCTTGTACCAACCAACTGTCCTAGATGTGGACTCTTTCCCAGCACTTTCAGTTTGGAGCTTGGCTGACATCTTTATTTCAACTTCTGCATCTTTATGAAGAACTCATTTGAGCTTGGCTCAATGAATTAATAGAACTGTGAGCAAGTAAATGAGCAGTGTTTTACAATGAAAAATTTGTGGACATTTGTTTTTCCACAGTTGAAAAAGTGACCTAGATATTGTTACCCAGTTTTGGAGTGCAGCCGTAACACTCCAAAGCTTTTGGAAACAGGCAGTGGGTGGAGGCTGGAAGTATCTGGAGGAACATAGTGGGAAAAGCCAGGTGGCCTTCAGTAGACTGTTCATAGGCTCATTATGGGTGGTGGAGATGATGAAGATGAGCTTGAATGCACAAGCACTGTGGGGGGAGCCCCATCACCTGGTTGGAAACCTAAGTCACTGTGACAAATGGTTAATAGGAAAGTGAACTTTGAGAACACTGCTAGTCAGGGTTCAGAGGGAAGCAGGAAATGTGGCACCTCCTCAGAGGGAAGTGGGGGACATGGATCATCCTCAGAGGGAAATGGGGAACATGGAATCTCCTTAGACAGTGACAGAATGCCAATGGTTCTGTCCTGTAGTTAGTGGAAGACAAGCAAAGTTGGCTCTGCAGCTGAGGAGAGCCAGGCAGTGTTGAACATGTGTCTTGGATTTTTCTTGCTGTTTATAGTTAAATGTGAGATGAGAGATAACTGAAGGGCAGGGCTGTTAAACCAAAAGGAACAGTACCTGTTGCATAAATTCTCACGTTCCCAGATGGTGAGTGATGGTGACTCTTAGATACTCTCCGTCATGTGGGCTCTACTGCAAAGGCCCAGGACAAGACTCTTAAGTTCTTCTTCTGAAATTTGAAAGGTTAGTGCAGTGAAGTGATGCCAGTTGCCTGCCTGGCATCTTCTACTTGCCTCCCTGACATTGCCTACCTGTCTGTTTGAACAGGGAGGTATACATTGCCTTTTGAGGAAAATCAGTAGGGATGGGATGGGAGCCATAATGTCAGTGCAAAAAAAGTGTCGTTAGAGCTGAAGCCCACAAAAGTGATCAGGAATTGTGTGTCAGATCAGAACAGATTTAATTGAGACGGTGTCTAGTGGCATCTGGCATTTTCTATCATAATATCCAAAAATGTATGGATTATGATTTATCTTTTTCTCCATTTTAGTGTATGTGTGTGGTATGCATAGTGTGTATATCGATATTTGCATATGTGGGTAGGTGCATGTGCATGTGGAGGCCTGAGGTTGATGTTAGGAATCATCCTTAATCACTCTGCCTTATTCTTTGAGACAGAGTTTCTCAATCAAAACCAGGGCTTGCAGATATGGCTAGTCTTACTAGCCAGCTTGCTCTGGGACACCCCTCATCTCTGCCTTCCAAGGCTGGAATTACAGGTGCGCCATTGCACCCACTAGGTAGGTTCTGGGAATCCAAAATCTGGTCCTCATGCTTACAAAGCAAACACTTCTAAAACAGAGAGAGAGAGAGAGAGAGAGAGAGAGAGAGAGAGAGAGAGAGAATTGGTAACTGAAAAGGATTTGGAACTTCAGGAGAGAGAAAAAAAAAAGAATGCCAGGGTGGGTAAAAGTAATTAAGTAGGACGGAATCTCTTTCTGGATGGAGTCAGTTCTTATATTTTGTGGTTGAAACAAAAATGACAATCAAATGTGGTACTGAATACTCTCAGAGAAAGCTGTGAAGCAATTCCTTTTTATTTACTTTATCTTTATTTATTTGTGTGTGCATCTCTGAGTCTGTGTGTGGTTATTTGCACATCAGTGCAGTGCCCTTGGAGGCCAGAAGAGGGTGTTGGACTTACTGAAGCTGGAGTTACAGGAGGTTGCAAGCAGCCTGACTTGGGTGCTGGAAACTAATCTTGGATCCTCTATGAAAGCAACAAGTACTTTTAACCATTCAGCCATCTCTCCAGTCCCAATTGCGGTTTTTAAAATGGGGAGGGGGGAAGACACATAACAGGAACAAAAAGTGTCTGTACTCCCAAGGCTAAAATTTGAATCCCATTGGGTTGTAATAAGGTAAGCAAGCATGGCTGTTAAATTGCACATACCTACATACAATGAGTTCCTCATAAAATTGGTAAAATCTGAGTGCACAAATGCCAATTTCCCATTTTTGATACTGTCCTGTTATGAGGATGCTGATTTCTGGGATGAGGGTAAGGAGTATATGGGATTTCCTGTACTTAAAAAAAAACCTTGGGGCTTGTGAGATGGCTCAAAAGGTAAAAGTGCTTGTTGTTAAGCCTGATGACCTAATTTCAGTCTGTGCTATCTGGGACCTACATAGTGGAAGGAGAGAGCCAACTCCCACAAGTTGTCCTTTGACCTCTACATGCATGCCATGAAATGCACACACATGCACACAAACACACACACACACACACACACACACAAAGTAAATAAATGTCAAAAATATCTTTTAAGTTCATTTGTAACTACTTCAAAATTAAAAGTTAAATAAATATTCTTGGATGTTTAACAGACATACTTTGAGATCTACACTAATTTGGTCAGAGGGACATAAAGGACAGTTTTTGCTCCTTGTACTCCTAGGTTGACTAGTTCCAGGGGACTATGAGTATCACTCAAAATGTCCTGTAATTGTGGTGGGTCACCTGTCCTCTTGATCAAGGAGGCTGAGGAGACCCCACCAGATGGACTTGAACCAGTGTCCAGTCTACAAAGAGGAGGGTCAACACAGAGGAATCATTTCCTCCATGCTTCCAAGCAAAGCCAGCCATGGTTGAGTGGGACCTTTGACTTATCTTCACATAGGCAAAACTGGTAAAAGAAAGGAGCCAGGGGCTCCTCCCAAGCCCATGTGACCCCTGAAGAACAGATCCTCAAATGACCTTAAGAGTAAAAATAAATTGGTTTATTTGGGCTAACTGTATGGCCTTAAACACCCAAAAGGAAAGTATAACCAAAGATTAAAGGGGCCAATATAATTTTTTTAAGAGTCCATATGTATAGCTAAAGGCCACATAACAAGGAAGAATG